ATCGTTGATCGTAGCCAAATGTTGACGGACGGACGGACGGACGTACGACGACCCATGGTAATAGCTCAGCTTGACGATGTCAAGGTGAGCTAAAAATCACCATTTACAAGCTCGCACATGGTTGCCTTCTAGTCGAGTGATTTATTACTGCGTGTATACCGATTAAATAACCATATTAAACGCATTCTTATTCAGACGAGGCCCGATCGTAGCAGTATGATTTATTGCTATATGTCTCGGTATGCGAACAAACTAGAAATAGACGGGATCTTGCTTACGCGTAGAATGAAGAATGATTTGATCGTATGTTTCCGAAATGTAAATATAAAATGGATTCCGATCTAGGCGTTTGTCATACGTCTTCTAATTAAACTACGATTTATTAGCAAACGCAAGGATACACGTGTTTAAATTAAGCAGTAATTGATAACTTATGCGTGTAAAAATTCTGATGAACATTCGTTCGAATGAACATCGTAATCGCCTGACATAGTTTGTGAGCGCACAGCCGTGATTAATAATACCAATCTGTTTTGAGCAACGGCCCGTGTGATCAATTATACGTTCACTGCCATCATGATCAATTACCCATGTGCTAATTTTGTGTAAAGAATAACAGCAAACAATATGTTCAGAGGTCCGTCAGTTTGTTATATAATAGTTTTACTAGCTTTTTTATAGATTACGGCTAAGTCGTCTTGTTTTGATTTGTATCTTAATTTCATTTTGCTCTGATCGCCATTTAAATTTTCACTTTTAATTTTTAATTTTCGGTGCAAAAACTAATATCACACAAAGATACAAATAACGCGTGCGTGCGTGTCTGTGTGTGTGCGTGTGCACGTGTGTGCGTCCGCCTCCGATATTGTCGGTCCGATATTGGCGGATTTTATCGAATGATCGCAAAAGTGACCAACTCTGCTTACCGATATCTCATTGGTTATTAAAATCACATATATCTACGACATGCCATGTGCACACCGTCTAAAACTTAGGAGTAGGAAGCGATGCAAAAATGAGAGGGTGTTCACCTACATCCGTTTTGATGTAAAAGTCTAATAGATGACTTTTTCCTCAAATTTAGCATGTTCTACAGAAACAACCGCGATGTGGCGAAACGGTTACATTTATAACCGCACTGACGTCATAACGACTTGGCTGAACTACGGTACTACTATACGGGCATTCAAGTAGCGCGTGCATATGTCTACAAGTACGTACAGTTCACGAACGGAGGCACGTATAGACAGACACATTACGTTATAAAGATCAGTTTAATCAGTAGCCATCTCGCAGCCCCCAGACACCAGGTGTGCAGACAGACGACTACATGCCAAACGTGCGTGCAAGCATATGGCATATGTATTTTGTTTCATAATTAGATTTTTTGTTTTATGGTTGATTTTATCACATATAACATTTACGGATCGAATGCTTCGATTCACGGATCAAATGATTCGATTCATAGATCGAATGATTCGATTCACGGATCGAATGATTCAATTCACGGATCGAATTATTCGATTCACGGATCAAATGATTCGATTCACGGATTGAATGATTCGATTCACGGATAGAATAATTCGATTCACGAATCGAATGATTCGATTCACGGATAGAACGATTCGATTCACGGATCGAATGATTTGATTCACGGATCGAATGATTCGATTCACGGATCGAATGATTTGATTCACGGATCGAATGATTCGATTCACGGATCGAATGATTCAATTCACGGATCGAATGGTTTGATTCTCTTCTCTGATATAAAATCAAATAATGTGAACATTTAAAACAGGGAATTATTGTCGATTTATTGCATATAACATAATTATTATGATTAAATAATCATATATTATATGTGATAAATCAAATGTTATATGCAATAAATCAAATGTTATATGTGATAAATCGAATGTTATAAATGGATTCCGCTGGATGAGCATCCAGGGCTTTAGCTGAGATAGTTCATGTTATGTTAGCAATGAATAGATAGTTTCCACTTTGGGCAGTCTCAGCATATTTTTCTAACATGTAACATGTGTAGAAAGTTGGTGACATCTTTTCCTGTCAGGCAACAATAGTGACGTGTGAGGTGAAGTTCATTCAACGTGCACCTACTGACCTGGCTACTGGCCAGTACCTCGATAACTTTCACCTTGAAAAATAGAAGAAAGGTCATTGGAAAACGAGTTTAGATGCTCCCTTTAGTTTATTCTAATCTATAACTATACCTAATCTAACCAAAAGCAGCCCTACTTAACTCTACAGAACTGGGGTGAACCAATTTGAACAAAAAGTAACCTAAGTTGAAATGACACACAATATAATGGTTAGATAAGATACTCACCACACAAACACATCAAATTAGTTGCTTGCACCATTAGTCCTAAACCCGAGTTAGATCCCCGAGATATGAACGAGAACTGCAAAGAATAGCACACACACTTTAGACATGGTTTGATGCTATCTGGCTGAGATCACAATATCGCTTAACAGATAGGAATGTCGAATTCCACAAGAGGTTGAATATCTCATATCAAAACTTCACTTTCTTAAATACAAAATTGAGATTTTATATAAACCCTTGGTGAATAAAGATATCATCTATCATAACAATGGAAGGCATGAGGTAGAATTTCATTATGTTGATTCTTATTGATTTAATCCTATGCAAAGTAGCACAGGACAAGTGCTTGTTGATTTGATTATACGATGCATAATTATACTAACATTTCTTACATAACTAAGTACCAAAGCCAAACAACTAAGGTCAAGGGCTCACTGAAGCCTAAATTACTATAAAAATTATAGCCATTGAAATTCCACATGTTAATAATACCAGAAATATGTTATGCAATTCATATAATATAATATAATATAATATAGTATAATATATAACATAATATAATATGAATATCTTGATAATACGTATAGTCTATTTAATTTATTATAAAATGAAGTTTCTCATCAGGTTAAAATGCAGGTTTCCATCTAGAAACTCATTTTCCGTAATCATCCCCTTACCTTAGCCCGACCAGGCTGTGCGACCGATTGTCTACTAAGGTCTTCTAACCCTAGCAAGACCGTTTCTTGGAGCTACCCCTTACCTATACGTATGTCTTTATTATGTTCGTTGAGCCTAGGTGTATTGCATGCTGTAATCAGATGCTGCCACCTGTAGGCGGGGAATGAAAATAGACTGCCTTGTCGTCTGAAGGTCTTTGTATTCGGCGATAAGACTTTGCACCGACTGCAGGCTATCGTCAAACTCTGCTACCTCCATACCGTCCACTGTCAGGTAGTGATGTAAGTGTGCCTGTAATAAATGAACCAAAAAACATCGCTGATTAAACATGTTTCAGCCGTATCTGTTAGTATGATCACATAATCTTTTAGTAGGTAGTGTGCACACGCACGGTTCTTGTGGGAAAAACAGATAACATGCGAACAGTCGTATCTGAACAACATCTATCCCCGCCGGAGGGGGGGGGGGCTCATACATAGACGCAACAATACAAACTTACAGTAGCAGTAGATGTAATGCAGTCTTACATCACATACACATACTTAAAAATTGCCACCTTAAGCAATGGTCATATACATTGTTCTGTTTGATCACTATCAAGGCAAATAACACAGAAAAATACTTCTGTGCTGTATCATGCCGCATGCAACCCCCACAGTTAGAAATCAAATATCTGCAACTCCCAATCAGCTGTCATCCGAAAAACACTTATTAGTTTACCCAAACAGAGTAGGAAATTACGCCAGAATGCACTATTACTTTTGATGTCATTTTGAAGTATTATTTGTGCATTATATGACTTTATAATGATTGGACATAGAAATGTATATGCACAGTGTGCTCATGTTTGTCATTTTTAAGTATTTGTTTCACGTCTAATGCTTTAAAGTGGAAATAGATTTATAATCTAGGGATTAAGAACCATAACATATACATATATTATTATGAAAATGTGCCACATCACGAATTGTCTGCAAGATAGTAAAGGAGAAGTGTTATTATGCTATAGCATTTTGTTAAACAGGGCCAAATTACCTTTCTTTTATAGAGCCTGTTGAACCTCACCACCAAGTCAGTGAAGGTTTTCTCTATGCATGTATTATTTGCCAATGTCAAGAGTGAATATGGCTGGCCAGTAGGTGGCACTGCACACAGTCCTGTTTTCCAACCCTCCTGGTTCCAATGCACAAACCTCAGTGACGACTTGATTCTATAAATGACAAAATACGTAACGGTTTTGTAGTAGCTGAATGTTTTTCTCATACGTAAAAATGGAATGAGCTTTGGTCTGATATAGGTGTGATAAATGGTGCCTAGAGTTTCCTATAGGCATAATACAATTGTACATTGGTCTGCTGGAGGCATGCTAATTATACCTGTGTTTGACATGATGTTCAACCAGGCACTATTAATGTAGCTGGGCCTGAAAAGAGAGCTCACCTCTCAATATTACGCCGCACGTCTGACAACTGTGCCTTGCCTCTAACCATTAGGGCACAGGCCAAGTAAAGGCCATGCTTTGGATCAGCTCTAATCAGTTGGTGGGCTGGTGAAAATGCATCACCGAACATTGAGTCCAGTCTGCAATGATGACAGGAAGGAGTGTCACGCATAGATGTCATAAAATATGCATCGCAATCAATTTGTTACAGACGTATGCATGAAAACCAATTTTTTACGAAGATTTAATGATGCTAAAGTGTCATTTAAGGTTACAGCTTAATTGCACAGGGAATTACAGAAGGTGAACGCAGTAACGAATTACAAGCTATAAAAAACGAATGCGACAATGTAGCCCGATAATAACATACCCGATAATAATGCGATAATATTACCTGCGTTGTGGTATATTGACATCAGTGAGACTGTATAGTGGTGCCATGCTTGATACGAGGTAGTGAAGTCGTGGGAATGGCACCAGATTCATCGATATCTCATTCAGGTCAACATTTAGAGAACCCTCGAATCTGGCAGAGCTGAAAATAAGGTACATACACTAGGATAAAAAAGTAAAAATCTTACAATGATATTTTCACAAAAAAAGGATCTAGGGATTAATTATTAGAGGTTCTTCAGAAGAATGTCTAAAATACTTGACAAATATCTCATGAGCAGTTAGCTGTCAAGGCTCACAGCCGAACCGAAGAAGTACCAACCGAACTCATGCATTCATTGTATAGCTTACCAGGTGAGATTGAGAAGAAGATTTGCAACGATGTTGTTCATGCTATCGAATGCTTTCTGAACACTGCATTTGCCTGCCCCCTGGTGGCTATCAGATACAGCACTGCCTTCCTATGAAATATGACACAGAAAAGGACGAGTGCAAGAATTCATGTGCCAATTGCATAATATGATGCTAGTCAATATGAGAAGATGTAACTGAGTAGTGTGATTCTCATGCCTCTAAACTTATCTATTAGAGTTATATAAAAAACTAATAGTGTTTCTATAACAAAACTCTAGAACTATAATAATAGCAACTACTACAAAACAATATAAAATAATCGTAACAGCATACCTTTATTTTTGCTGCGGATGTATGAATCCCCGCTTTACTTTGACTGGAGAATTTTGAAATTCTTGTACATATGTCTTGTAGGGCCTTAAATAAACTGCATGTTTTAGCTCCTTAATATAATGTCAATGTGTTTTTATGATCGTAAGGTGAAAAGATATTTAAAAAAAGCCATTTTAATCTCGTTGATAAATTCATGTAGACATGTAAAATATTTATAGAATATGGTTTCTGAATACTTAAAATTGAAAGATTGGACATGTTAAAATCACAAAATTTGTTGAAAATCCTTGATAAATAAAAGGTAAAACTTGCTAAAACCACATGACTACCAAGTGAGCATGATCGATGGTCACATGATGACGAAAGATTATTGTCACCTAAATAAGACGACACAAGTGAAGAGGAGTTGCACCGCTGTTGTAATACCTGGTTTTCGATCGGAAGCACGCATTCTGCGACTTCTGTGAGCTGCTTCAGTGCCAGAATGCTGTTGTAGGGGGATGTGATAACATCATCGTCCGCTGATGGGAAAACGGCTGTCACAAACCTGAATGGAACCATCTAGAATAAGCCAAGCTTGCAACACTATTCCCACCTTTTGAAGATGTGATGACTGATCATGACTCACACGAAACAAACACATGTCCAGGAAATCATTTAGAATAGAATCAGAATAGAGTCGATTAGAATAGAATAGAGTAGAACTTCGAATCGAAACTCGCCTGAAAAATACATTAGTAAACCTTACACCGAGGTAAGCCATACCACCCTATATAAAAAGACGAGCGGGACATACAGCATAACATGTAGATCATAGGTAAACATTCAGTGAAACTTGTACTTCCAACATCCAGATGAGACGGGATACTAGAGAAGCGTTGCCGAAAGAAGGTGTTGACCCAAAGTGCTGAGCGCAGATCTTGCGCGCAGTTCCGCGGCAAGGCGCACGCGACCGCGGGAACGTCCTACGACAGTATGCAGCGCTGGCAGCTATGGATCCGTGCGCCGACTGCTTAACCGCGGCGCACGCGATTCCATAGCTGCCAGGCAACAGTCCACAATTTTTTAAAGTGGGGACACAGACGAGGCCAACATTTGGGAACGTGAACATTGTTCACTTGTTATAAAAACATAAGTCTCTGTTCGTTAACCTACTGTGTCACTGGCGTAAATCAATCAGAAAGACTTGACTGAATTTCGGGCGTTTTCGCGGAACGAGGCTTGCCCAGTAATGGAAATGGCTGCAAGGACATAAAGGCTATATAGACTGGGACTCACTCTGCCTCACCTCGATTACCATCCTGAGTGTAACCTAAGCAAGCCGAGAGTGAAGCGAGTGCCAGTCTATGCTATAGGCGGCGTGCGCAGGCGCGGCACGTGCCTTTCCACTCGCTGACGAGCCTCGCATTGAACGCTGTGCAAAACGTTGCAGTGTTGGCGGCTGACAGCCATTTCCATTACTGGCCAAAGGCTTCGCTGAACGCGAGAATTTCGTCATCTGTGTATTTCGCATGACACAGCCGGTTACGACAGAGAACATTATTTTTTATACAAGTAGAATAAGCTGTTGTTCACAGGAGAAACAAAGATGCACTGTTGAATGTGTATTTCGTGCTGTTGAAAGTTTCAAATGAAGTGATCGTCGAGCGAATTTTGGCCGCACGCTCCTACCTGTCTATATATTATATTTAGTGTAAGCCGTGCAACAGTCCGCCGCGAGAGCATGGGCAGCCCGGCAGGCGTACGCTTGGAACGTAGGATTTCGACTGAATTACAGAAAGCTCGGCAATAATAGGTCAACAGAGAGTAGGTCCCCTATGCTGCCTATAGAAACAGAAGAAGTGGTAGTAAATAGATTCCGTATTTAGTTAGCATTATATTTATTATATTTAGTCGGAGTACTATAACACTAAAGGAGTCGTCATCTATCTAATATTTAGTAACTTACTAGTAACTAGTAACACAGTTTGTCATTATTAGCTCCTGGTAGTCACTAGTATATATAGTATACTGTAGTACTAGTAGTCCTGGTACTTAGTAGTACTAGTACTAGTATACTTACTACTACTCAGAATTCATTGTAACATTGTACGCGCTTGTAGTAATAGAAGTATCGTAGTGTGGATACAGACATTGTCCGATGCTCGCCATTGTGGGCATTCGTGTTAGATGATTCCACGGAAATATATATATAGTAGCTTAGGTTGCCTGTAGAATCACACGAGTACGAGCACATCTGGTTTTCATTGGGACTCCATGTCTCCTCTTCCTTGCCGTCCAGTCGGAGCACTCCGGAAGTTCCACGTGAATTCTAACCGGAACACTTACAAAGTCAAACTTCCACTGTTCACAGTTTAGGCACTTCCTGCCACCCAAGTTGAAATCTTTAGTTTGGAATGAGGAGTGTAATACATGCAGAAGATACAAATAGCAGATAACAGTGAACATGAACTAACTGTAATTAGTACGAATAGCGAAGACGAACTTCCTATATATCGTATTCCCTAAACTCAGCCAGTCAACCGTGAACGCATGAGCCTATATATTGTTACAGTCAACAAAAAAACTCCGTTATTACAGAAAGAAAGCGCGCCTAGTAAGCCTATCTGAAATGTGGCAGCATTTCTAAGCCCGTCTCTACATAACTGGTAGTGAGATCCCTCGTGCAATGGGCAGAACTGCTCAATTCATCGAAAAGCCGGCTTCAAGCCTCTCCTAGAAAGGACCGGAATACTTGCGTTGGGTAGAGGGCAGCGACATTGCAAAAGTGGCCGCTACGCGGCGTTTGAGCGCTTCGCGCGGATATCCGGCTGCAGATCGTCAAGTTAAATTTACGAGAAGTTGACAAATCCAAGAGAAATACTACATTAAATTCGTACTAATCATCGCAGATTCTTGAAATCATGCATACCGGTTGTACACGTCGGGAAATTCGTCGCGAAGCATGCCGAGTATCGCCGTGCCGACGCCAGATCCCGTGCCGCCGCCCATCGAATGCAAGACGAAGAAACACTGCAGCGCGTCGCACATCTCTGCTTCCCTCCGCACACTCTCGACGATCGCCTCGCGGTACCTGCGGCCGTAGAATCTGTTCCCGACAGCCCTGTCAATCATTTTACAATTTCCACATTTATTTTTATGATGGATATGTTATTTATTTTATCATATTTCATTGTATATAAAAAATAATAATAATGATAATTCATATACCATATATTATATTCCCATTTTTTCACATTATCATTTTCATATTACGTTATGATATTTTATTACGTAATATGATACACTGTTTGTATCATTATGAGTCATACGAGATTCAAAACAGATGTGAGGCTTTGTCAGTGATTTCTCATGAACGTGTGTCTACGAGAGCACTTTTTCTCTTAGACGAACTGCATAGATGTTATAGCGTGAACAGTGAAGTAGCTAGCTGCTGTTAGCTTTGCACACAGCTTCATTTATATCTACCTCACATAGAGACTTAATGATGCCAGATTCGGATATAAAAACTTAATAGCATGAAAAATTCCTTTACCAGTTATTTCCAGACCCGGATACATCTGTGATGAACTGTTTGTGATCAAACACGTCTCCCAGGGGTCCTTTCAGTGCTGCATTGACCACACCTTCCTCCATGTCGACAAGAACTGCCTAGAAGTATAAATGAAAGTGTCAATGACACTATAGCTCACCTTGGGTGTGATAGAAGAAAGAGATGATATTTAAAATTTGGTAAGTGTTTCAGTTACGATGGACCAAAATATGCGATCAAATGTCCTTATTCCCTGTTTCATACTAATAGAAATTTCACTGTTTTCCTTCAGGGTTAGTTTTAATGCGAAAATAAATGTTTCAGATCTGAAAGTCTGAAATCTGGGCAAGAGATGGCGCTACGCCTAAATGATCAACATTTTGGTTTTCGATTATTGAGCAAAGCAATTAAATATTTCAGTCAAATTACTGTAACGAAGAATCTAAAACACAATATTACACGTAGGTATGATTAGGTAGGTAGGTAGGTAAATTTAACAAAATCGAATTAATCTAGATGGCCATTTTCATTTTTGCCAAAAAGTGGGCGTGGCTCGAAAGTAGGTCGACTGGCGTGCTCCAAAATAGGACGTGCAAATCTCTCCCGTAAGAGTAACAACTGTATGCAATTTGAAACATGTGGGTCAAACGGTTCTTGAGTTATCGTTGACCGTAAGCAGACACTGAAATGCATAGTGAAACTGCCAAAATCTGCCTAATTTGCATAATTTAAAAAAATTATCAAAACACGTGTGATATGTTTTGGGGCCAGTCCTTATTCATTCACATACCAAAAATGAGCAAAATCCATTGAGCCTGAACTGACTTATGGCCATTTCCATTTTTGCCAAAAAGTGGGCGTGGCTCGAAAGTAGGTCAACTGGCGTGCTGCAAAATAGGACTTTCAAATCTCTCCCATAGGAGTAACAGCTGTACATGCAAATTGAAACATGTGGGTCAAACGGTTCTTGAGTTATCGTCGACTGTAGGCAGACACTGAAATAGCTCATCATGACGATGTCAAGGTGAGCTAAAAATCAGTTATCCACCTATGCACTTTGCCAGGAGTAATACAGTACTTCTCTTCTCAGCCAAGTGTGTGTATTTGTCGACTAGTTAAATTCACAACTTTATCACTTCTAAGTAATGCTTTTGCCACCTCATACAAAAAGAATTTCCGAAAAATTTATTTTATGTCACCACTGAGCCTACACTCTTTGTATATTTCAGCCATAGCTCTACTGTCACAGAGGAGAGTAATACTGATATCTTTCCTTGTTACATATACGATGCATTACTACTATTTACTAGGCAATCTGAACTGAGTCAAACACTTTAACATTGCAATTTGTGCTAGCTTACTATGTTTTCCTACCAAACTCTGTTAGCACAAACCTATTTATGAAATTGAATTTAAAGAATAAAACTATATCTTTACAGGGTACTCCAAGAGCACTTATAGCCTGGCGGCCCGCCAGGCTATCGTCGAGCCCCGTCATCCTAAAATGCACCCGCCACTCTAAATATCATAGCCCCCGGACCCCCTAGCACGCAAACCGCCTTCGGCGATTTGCAACTCGGACCGTAAAGGCAACACACGCCATGCTATAATGAAAAAGCTTGGAGAACCCTGCTTTATATTACCCTTGCTTTAAGCGTGTGAATCATTCCGATACCATCACCAACAGGAATTTGTTGACATTTTCCATTACGCGTGTCAACATTACGGAAGAAATGACCTAGTGCCTCATCAAATACGCCATTCTGAAACAATAACATATGTACTGTTAAGTACTGTACAGTCTGCTTTTCCTATCCCCACATATGGAGCCTAACTAAGGTGACCTCAATATTGGTTTATAACTTTATATAAAAATAACATTATTAAATCATTTGTGATTGCATATATAATATATGTATATATATATATTACATGAATTTTATAACAATTAAAGTAAGGAAATATCAATCTAATATTCAGGTGACCATAAATCAGCCATAGAAGACATGCAGTAACACTGAAGAAACTGGTATACTATTTATTATACTAACCTTGTTATTTGCAGCATGTTCACGAAGAGCAAGATCCCAGAAACGGCAGCCAATTTGATTTCCACACTGACCAACTGAAGAATTAATTTATATTATGCTTACATATTGAAAAACAATAAAAATCTATTTTTAGTAGTATTAATTCCTGTAAATTTATGCCCTGTATTGCTCCTCTGCAACACACAAGTTTACTGCACGCACCCCGCTGTGTACAAACAACAAAAGTATAAGCCTCGTCTACACGACGAACCTTACTTAACTCGAGTTAAGCGTTAACTCGAGTTAGCGATTATGTAGCGTCTACACGACAACACCCGATAGCGATTATTACCGATTTATTATGCATGCGTGCGTGCGTGTGTATGTAAACGTGCGTGCGTGTGTGCGTGCGTGTGCACGTACACGTGCATGCATGCGTGTGTGTGCACGTACACGTGCGTGCGTGCGTGTGCGTGCATGCATGCATGCATGTGCACGTACACCTTACACGTGCGTGCGTGCGCGCGTGCGCAGGTACGTTCGTGCGTGCGTGCGTGCGTGCGTGCGTGCGTGTGCAGGTACACGTGCGTGCGTGCGCGCGTGCATGTGCACGTAGACGTGCGTGCGTGCGTGTGTGCACGTACACGTGCGTGCATGCGTGCATGTGCGTGTGTATGTAAACGTGCGTGTGTGCGTGCGTGCGTGTGCACGTACACGTGCGTGCATGCGTTCGTCTGTGCGTGTGCACTTACATGTGCATGCGTGCGTGCGTGCATGTGCACGTACACGTGCGTGCATGCGTTCGTCTGTGCGTGTGCACTTACATGTGCATGCGTGCGTGCGTGCATGTGCACGTACACGTGCGTGCATGCGTTCGTCTGTGCGTGTGCACTTACATGTGCATGCGTGCGTGCGTGCATGTGCACGTAGCGTCGTGCGCATTAACACGTCGTGTGCCACGTACAGTGGCATGCCATGTAGTGTGGTGCGTGGCGTGGCGTGCGTGCGTGCGTGCGTGCGTGCGAACGTACATATCGTACTGAGTGTTGCCGCTATCGTGGAGGTTAAGGCTAACTCGAGGTTTAAGAGCGCTTACACGGCTGTAAAACTCGAGTTAGCTTAACCTCCGATCGACTGGCGAGCGGTTAAGCTAAACTCGAGTTAAAGGCCGTGTAGACGCCCATTAACTCGATTAATATTTCGTCGTGTAGACGAGGCTATAGAGTGAAAAAATATGAGGAAAAAATAAAGGAAAAAATAAGAATGTAGAGCTCATACCTTGGTGAGCAGTAATATATAACGTTCAAAAACTAATTTATATATCCATTTTAAATTGTAAGTTTCGCTGCGCGCTTTGCGTGATTGAGCGCCACGTCGCACACAACGCACACACGTCAGCCATGCACACGCGCTGCGCTTCACGCACACACGTTCAACACACATGCGCTCACACACACACGCGATCACGGAGGCACACAGCGCTCACGCACATCCGGCACACGCACACACGCGTCGCCACGGAACGCGCTGACGGCACCACTACGTGCAGCACACGCGTCGGACGGCACACACGCGGCACACACACAGCGCCACGCCACACAAGTCGCACACACGCGCATCACCGTACAGCACCGTTTCGCACACGCAACACGATGTCGCACACCTTAACTGCGCGTCACGCACCACCATCGCACCACTACGTCACATACACGCGCTCACGCCACACCCCGCGCTCACAGCATACAGCGCGCTCACGGCGCATCACGCACACACGTCGCACACTGACGCGCTCACCGCATACACGCGCTCACGCAGCGACACCGTCGCACACACGCGCTCACGCACACACGTCGCGACACGCCACGCTCGACGCACAGCCGCACGTCGCACGCATGCCGTCACGCATCACAACGCGCTCACGCATGACACGCCTTCGACGCACCACAACAGCGGCTCCGACGCACGAACGACTTCGGCACACACGCGCTCAGCGGGTGCACACACGCGCTCACGCACGACACGTCGCACAACCGCACACACTCGCACACGCAGCACATGTGCCACACGACCGCTCACGGCACACACGTCGTATACACGCGCGATCGCGCACGACACGGCGCTCCACAGCACACACATCACACACAGGCCGCTCACGCCACAACACGCGCTCACGCGCGGCACACTACGCCGCAAGCACGACACACGCCACAGCACATGCCTCACGGCATCGACACGCCGCTTACGCACACACGTCAGCGCCACACGCGCTCACGCCAGCCGTCACACCATCGTAACGTACCATCGCGCGCTCACACACATCACGCGCACAACTGCGACCCACGCGCGTCACGTACACACGCGTCGCACACGCACACCATGTCGCACACCTGACCGCTCACTGCGACACACGTCTAACGGCTACGTGGTACAGTCTAGCTTGCTGCCAGCCGCAGTAAGACGACGATTAAACCAGTCGCGGCTGCATGTACGTATGCCGCGTGGTAGATTACAAATGCTGGCACTGTGAACCCTCGGAAAAAAACGAAAACCGGCGGAAAGACGCGGGAAAGATTTTCATGCCTGAGCGTAGATTCCCCTTCGTTTTGACATAAATCATACTTTTGACAGCGACATGGTTTTCACGTTATTTACCCGTCGTGTGGCAATTGCCACCGCAAATTCTCATGCACAGCACTCGAAGGAGGTCGCGGCCAGGCATCTCGGCTCCCGTGACGTTATCTCCGGAAGAAGTTTTTGTTCAGCTAGCAAAGCCGGTGATAGTATCAGTTGATAACTCTCATATTATGAACATTGTGCATTTTATGAGAAAAGCATGAAAGTTTCTAGCATAGTTAGTATATTACCATGATGTTTATTTTTTCAAGATTGAGGGAAGTGCACATTTTACCCTTTGAGGACGCGTGAGAGGTCAAATCGAGAGAGGCCGCGCAGCGCACCGGGTCTTAATGTTCAAACCACTTAATTTGGAACACCAAAAGCGTAGAAAAAAACATTTAAGGTTTCGATTGCCAACTAAATTTGGGAGACCATGTCATTGATGATTACCTTTGAGATCGCTAAACTTAAAGAACATCATTTAGGCCCGTTGAAGGTCAAAATTGACCAAAAAAAGTAAGAATCTAGGTTGAAATTTGCAACAAATAAACCACCCAGAGACTGTAATTTCACAATAACTTAAGATTCCCATCAAGTTTGATGATCATTTTCAAGTTGCCAAACACTTAACCCTGGCCCAGATTCCTGTCCTTCTGCTGAGCCCCGCAACCATTTATGCTCTTTGCTAGGAAGGTCCAGTGAAAACCTGTCCAGCCACTACACAGGAGGAGGACACTTTTGTTGATCTATGTCGCGTTGTACTATCACATCGAGATGAGTCAACGTGAAGTTTGCGGAAGACTGGCTGGAAGATAAGTGGTTGGAACGAACGCCGCTGGACACGGCTGACATTGCAAGTTCCGGACAGCAAATTCCTTCATACATGCCAGCATGTCACCAAGACAGGGGGACGCCATGATACATGCCAGGTCACAGCTGCGAAGCTTTATACACTCCTCGCAACAAACTTACAATAAGACTGCAACATCCGAGATACTGATGGTCCATGTACGCACTGCCAGTAGTCCGTCTTTGAGGAGTGTGCTCTAAGAGCCAGTGTCCCACTTTACTACGGCTTAATGCCCTGTCATTTGGTGCGTCTCTCTTGCTGCTGTAAAATTCAAGGTCATCTTCTCGGAAGTAACTTCCATCTGACTGGAATCCCTGACGAGCGAGATGCATGCCCTGATGTTTCTCTAGATCACACGCACTACTCCAGGTGGTCTTCCCCGCGTACACATCGCGTTGACATGACGACTCTTGCGAAGAAAACACACCAGATTGCCTAGGCATAATTCAAGTCTGGAAACTTCGTGTGCACAAAAACCAGCAACATAAGTTTTCTGCTATGCAGGCTTGACCAGTCCCATGAACAAAACAATGGCCCAATGGTGAAAGGTTCTGTGGGGCTATAGGACTGACAGGCAATCCAGGCGGCACTCAGTACGCTGGATGACTAAGGCCAACAGAAAGTGGTGCCTAGGATTACCATACAAGAGTTTGAGAAACAGGCCATAAACAACAGGTGAGGTGCTGTGTGACACTGGAACCCTCACCATGAGCAGCAACCTGGAGTGCAAAGCAGCATTCCTGAAGGAGGTTAAGGCACTTGTGACACGTGCTAGAAAGAGATGGGGAATACCATTTACTAGAACACAGCCAAGACCTAACCTAGCATGCTGACACAGAGGGACATCATGGACACCCAGTGGCTAAAACTGTGAGAAGGATTGAGACCGCTTGGTGAGAAGCATACACGTAAGTTGTGACAGAAAGGTTAGAACAGTGTTACAAACACACCTGCACACAGACACTTCCCAAAGAAGCAATTGCCACTTTTCAGTAGCCACCGTCAAGATTAAGTCAAATACGAAGGCACAGCTCCTCCGCAGCACTGAAGAGGACTGTGGGTCTCTTTTTCGAGCTTACATCCCTGTCAAAACTCGAGATGGAGACATCAACAATTTCATTCTCCCATGAAAACCAGGCAGCCCGCCAGCTCTGTCAACTGAGAAAATTGCGGTTTGGGGTTTAAAGCAGATCTAGCTTCGCTGCCTGGAATCAGATCTGCTCAAAACAAATAGTGTGCTTGTGGCTTGATCACAATTCGATGGTCAGGACTGTGGTTCAAATCAAATCCTGGACATCAAGAAACATTTAAAGAGTATGCCCAGAAAAGTGTTTTGCAAGCGATACATCTCTGCTGAACTCGGAAAATCAGCCAGCATCGACCTGGTCTGGAATGTATACCTACCTGCCCAGCCTGAAAGCGTCAACTCAGGACAGAAAGGGAAAGGTATCAGGAAAAGGGTGCTCCTTCTACTGTGATCCAAAGAACTGAAGGACTTCTTTTGCGAGTCAATGAAAGAAACCCGAATTATTTGCTTTCCATGTCCAGCCGCGAGCTTCAATTCCTCTAGCAGAAGGAAGAACTGGTAGCAACCAGTGGAAGTGGGGCCTGTGGCTCTGCTCTGTCGAG